TTAAAGCGTGACTCAACAGAGAACTGTGGAATAGACGAAATGAACGGAAATTCCTTAGATTGTAAAAACGACAGCATCAAATGTTATCAGCGATATTTTGTAACATAAAATTGAGCATAACGAATAGATGTAGCCGAATATTTCTTTTTTGACGAAATATGATGAATATTAGACGCACGTAAGCAAGTATCACACGATAATATTGCCATATCTGCCCCATGCGATATAGAAAATATGCGTTTTGGACACATTGAACAATTTTGTGAGTAACTATATGTTTAATTATATACATATCTCAATGGCAATGAGAAAACTCAGTAAAATATACTGTAACAAACACAATCTGTTTTTTATGATGTTTTTTGTATTATTTTTCGGATGAAATTAGGGTCTTTTAGGTCGATTTTGTTATTTTTTCCGGCCGATTTTTGTGATATTTAGGATGATTTTCGTAATTTATAGGACGATTTTTGGGTTTTTTAGGACGTTTTTCGTTTCACCCGAATTTGGCTATGTGAGATCGCAAATTTTCAACAGTCATCAATCCCAAATAAACATGCTGTTTTAAGTCTATATATTCCGAATTAATATTTATTTTTCTGCGTCGCAAAATACATTAATATAAAGCAATACGCTCAAACATAGTCTGCATTCAATACGAACAAGACCATTTCAACGCGTATGATACCAAGCGATAACTGGGCAGAAATGCTGCGCTATGTCTATATGATACGCTAATAAAGTCTTGAGTAAGCAGACTGCAAAAACAAACACACGGAAATATGCCTTCTCGTGCGCTGTCTTATGTAAAATCGTCTCGAATGTCGCATCATCTCTCACCGACTAAGCGGTGTGCGTACAAAATGTAAAATAGATAAGAGAGGTTGGAATTTTTTCACTCTTTTGCCATTACATTCTCGTCGATTGCACACGCTGTACTGTGAACCAAGTGTGTTCTCCGTTGTTTTGTATCAAGCACAAAAACAATACAATTGTAGAGAAATATAAAAAGGCAGAGAAGAAAAAACAAGAAATTATTGTCGTTGCCGTCGTGAATAATAAAAACACATTGCTCAATAAAAAACAGATTCACAGAGAGTGTTTGAACGGTTTTCTTATCGCACACAATAAAAACCTTAAATATATGCAAGTGAATCAGTCAATTGTGATCGAAATTTTTGGTATATTTTTCATTACGACGTGCTGATTTCATCGCCAGTATACGAGTTACAGCAGAACAGTGCGAACGTGTCGAGTGGAATAGAGAGTGAAAAAATAGAATGTTGCGAAAGACAGCGATTTTTTGTGTGATCGCGTTCATTTGTTCAGCAAATGGACAAGAAAACAAGGCCCGATATGATAATTATCGATTGTATCGTGTGCAATTGAAAACGGAAGATCAAGTAAAAGTTTTTAAAGAGCTTGAGAATCGTAGTGATTGTTACAGTTTTATAGGCCATGCACGTGAACCAAACCAAAACCTAACCATTTTGGTTGCGGCGCATAAAATTGCCGAGTTGACGGATATAATTGCTGATTACAAAGTTGGATTCGAAATATTGGTGAGCTAAACATTTGATGAGTGAAATGCGAGAAATGACGTTCATGTGTGAATTTTGTTTGTGTATTGTTTCAAAGAATTACAATTTCCAAGCGAATATCGATGCAGTAGAGAAGAATGTCAAGCCAGCCAATACATCGGCGAATGACTTTGACTGGCGAAATTATTATCATTTGGAAACGATTTATGCATGGCTTGATCATCTAGTTCAAAAATACAGCACAATTGTTAAGCCGTTGGAAGTCGGAAGAAGCTACGAAGGTGTTCCCATAAGAGGTGTGAAATTGTCGCACAAAGCCAACAACACGGCCATTTTCATCGAAGGTGGAATACATGCCAGGTAGAGAAGAGTGTCAAGCCAGCCAATACTTTGGCGAATAACTTTTTATTCTGGCGGAATTATTATCATCATTTGGAAATCTTTGTTCTTTTATCCGAAGAGAATGGATCTCTCCAGCTACTGCGACTTTCATTTTGGACAAGCTATTGACGTCGGAAGATAAGGATATAATGGATATTGCACAAAATTTCGATTGGATTTTCTTCCCGGTTATCAATCCGGACGGTTACAAGGCAACGTTTGAAAAAGATAGAATGTGGCGAAAGACGAGACAACCATTTGGCTTGTGTCGCGGTACTGACTTGAACCGAAATTGGAACAGTCAGTGGAATAAATCGGGTTCAAGCTCTGACCCATGTGCCTATGTGAGTAGTGCTAAATATATTTTATCCACAAAATACAACTTTTAATTTTCGTAATAGGATTACGCTGGGCCACGCGTGTTCAGCGAACGGGAATCGGAACAATTGTCAAAGTATCTGGAGAGTATTGTGAAGCCACAACGCGTTCAAACATACATCAGCTTACACTCTTACTCACAATTGCTCATGTTCCCATATGGTTATACCAGTGACAGAGTATCGAACTACGAAGATTTGAAAGCAATCGGTGAGAAGGCAGTTGCTGCAATTAAAACCCGCTATGGCACTATCTACCGTTCGGGAAGTGTGTATGAAACCATTTATCCATCATCTGGTTCAAGTCATGATTGGGCATACACCGAATTGAAAATTCCAATTGCTTATACCTTTGAGCTGCGTGGCCCACCAACAAGCATAGACATGTTCATCTTGCCAGCCGAACAAATCGAACCAACCGGACTTGAGACTCTCGACGGATTTGTTGCACTTTTGAAAGAAGCCAAAGCACGCGGCTACTACGATATTGAAAAGATTGCCGCAAGTCAAACGGGATCTGCATCATCTCGTCTCGAAAGTGAGTAAAGCAAATATTTATTTTTGTAATTCCACATTTATCTTATCTTATCTTATCTCATTGAACAAATGAAACAATTGTTGTTTACAACATTATTTCTAAAACACACTTTAAACTCATTTGCAGATCTCAGCATGATCAATGTAGCGATTGCATTGGTTATTGCTTACTTTTTTGCGAATTGAATGCTTTGCTTGTGCACAACAACATACTATATTGGACGTGACTTATTTTTATCTTGAAAAGGAGAGCTATAAAACTTTCGCGATTCCAAATCATCATCCAATCAATAAATAATATATTCAACTAGATAAATTTAATGAGTAATGTAAGAATTATGGAAGAGAATTTGAATAACAAATAATAATTTGAAATAGAAATAAATTATGATATCATTGTAGTCGGTCTTTTCTATAGCTGAGATGAGACATTAAGAATGTTATTTGTGATCATTTAAACACAATAAAATCATCGGCTTCATGAAAGTGTCACCAAATGTCACATTTTTGCATTTCTTCTGTGTTCCTTTGTTTCGTGTTTTCGTTATTACTGAGATTTGAATTTGTATTCTTCTTGAAATCGGAATCTACTAATAAGTTGCCGACGCACACATATCAATTTTGCACGCAAATCTGAAAACCTTTGCATTTATTCGGTGTGTCTCTGTGTGTGGGAATCAAACGTAGCAGACACGGACGGCATACTTAGCACCGTTAGCCACGCATACACACTTAAACGATGGCATGGAGAAGGCATAGTTCAGCTGTGTGTATTGATTTAGTTTGAAAAGAAAACACCGACTGCGTGCTATTGGAATAACTGTTCAATTGTGCTGAAAAGATTGACGCGCGCGGATTGAATCTTCACGGGCGAGATACAGAAAAGTCGATATTCCTTTTTAGTCATTTTTAATTTTTGTTTATGTTTTTCTTGTCGCATGTAAGCATTTTGTGTCTCACGACTTTTTATGGATTATTTGAAATTGAAAAAGCGTTTTATTTTTCTTGCAGTGAATAATACACAATTTAGAATAATGGTTGACGCGAAGCTATTGAGCGAGTCACAAACAACGGCTTTCCAAAAGATCATCGGTTGTCTGACAAAATCGCCGCCTGAGAGTGGCACCACATTTATGGTGCAAGGAGCTGCCGGTACTGGAAAAACCTTCCTGTTGAATCATATCGTCGCCCACTGCGAGAGCAAAGACATCAAGGCGATTGCATTAGCTTACACCGGTATTGCGTCATGCTTATTGAAGAAGGGAAAAACAGTGCACTCACAATTCCGCATACCATGGAACCAAAAGCAAATCAAGTGTATGCTCGATTCGACGCATCCACTGTACAAGACCATCGAGACGGCCAAAGTTTTGCTGTGGGATCAAGCTGCCTTCTGCAGCAAGCAAATCTTCGAAGAGGTTGACCGTTTTCTGCGCGTCATTATGAATACAAAGCAAACGTTTGGCGGAAAATTGATGGTGATCAGTGGTGATTTCAACGAATGCTTGCCAATCTGCAAAAAGACCAAATTCGAATCAGCCGAGTCGAATTCGCTGCTCTATTCAAAGCTATTCAAAGATATGGAAACGTTTACATTGCACGAAAATCAACGCTTCAAATCCCAAACTGACTACCGTTTTTGTGTGGAAATTGGGTGTGGTATTCACACAGAAGTCGCTGTACCGAGTGCGTGCCGCGTATTCAGTTTGGATACGCTAATTAACACCACATATGGCCATGACTATGAGTCCATCTCATCGAATGACCTTCTCGATCGATCCCTGCTTACCGTTTGCGCCGTTGATGCAGAGTACTTGAACAACGAGTGTATACAGCGACTGTACTCGGCCAACATGGTTTTTCATAGCTTGAACTTTTTTCGCAAAATTAATCCTAACGAGCGCAGCCGATTCTATTCGATCGAAGAGACCATGGAGGATCTACCAAAATACTTCCCACCAAAGACTCTCCAGCTCAATAAGAACTGTCCAATAATGTTGCGTCAGGCATACAAAGGTTTGCCACAAGGCACTCGATTGGTGGTGAAAAATATCATCGGAACATCGATCATCGCCGAAATCGGTGCAGGACATCGCAAAGTAAAAACCATCAGCATCTACCGAGTGAACACCATCAAGATCTTTCAACGTGCCAATTTACAGTTTGTACGACGTCAGTTCCCGATTTCATTGGCATTCTCGATGACCATCAATAAGGCACAAGGCTTGCAGTTCAACCGTGTGGGTGTCTACTTTCCTGTCACAGCATTCGCACACGGCCAAATGTACGTTGCATTTTCGCGCACACCTGCCATCGAGGAGAACATGAAGGTATTTGTGGAGGAACCAAACGATGGCCGATTCACATTCGATCGAATGCCTAACGTAGTCAACGGTACTGTCGCCAAGTACCTGCTGCAGAGTCAATCATGAAACATTTTTTTTAAGTTTTCACTACGCTACAGTCAAGTTATGCCAAGCGACCAACTCTAACATATTTACATTTTTTCAATGTACTAATTTTTTTTTACTTTTTCATAATATAAATCAAATCAAATCTCTCGATAAAATCATGATCAAAACTGAATCGACAAAAACTGATAGAAAAACTTGTCATTTGAATTTAAGTCGCTAATTATAAGAAATTAGTATTAATAAGAAAAATTTGAAATCGTTTTTACCCTACTCTGTAATGATGCGCTGAATTAATCGAATAAAAGTTAAACCAAAACACAAAAGAAGTTCAAATTAAATTCTTTATTCAACAAAGTAGTTAACTTAAAAAAGATTTTCATAGTTAAAATGGTTTTTACATGCCGCATTTAACAAATTAAAATTGAATGAATCAGGAAATCCATTTGCACCGTAAAAGTTTCGAAATTCGTGTACGCAGGAGAGTAAGTGCAAAAGTTCAATTTTGTTTTTACCAAGTGAGAGAGAGAGATAAAAAGAAGCCTATATTTACATACATTTCGTTTCGTACTAATACCAAATCTGACTTTTAGACCTAGGCTAACGTTTTTGATTCCAAATAAACTCACAAAATTCATCCCTTCTTCTTTTTATCCATTAAATTAACATAAAATATTGTTTCGAATTTTAAACTGTGAACACATGCTGTCCTAACTATACGATGCAATTTGCGAACGAAAAAACATCACTCTCTGATGTCGAGTAAAAATGTGCCAATTTTAAGACGTAATCAATTGGAGTTAGTTGAGTTGTCAGGCTAAAGCTTTGTTGCGGTTTTAAAATGTGATCTTCATTACTCTCTTACTATAAATTACTCACATCCGATGTTTGTGTCTCTCTGTGTGTGTTTGTTTGTAGTATTCATGCATAAAATATCAAGGAAAAGGTTTGTGTTTGCTCATTTGTTTGACATCGATTTGTTGGAATTGTGTTCCTCTGATTGATGATAAATATATTTGCATTGTGGTTTTCAACGCCATGTCAATTTAATGATGGGGTTCGATTGTCTTCCCAGTTCACTTCGATATTTGGCCATTTCGTCTGCAAACACGTTATCATTGGGTTTGATATGGATACGGAACGTAAATCACTTTCCAGAATTATGGCTGCACCATGGTGATATTTTACCTAGAGCATTGTGGAAGTATTCAAGAAAAAAGGGTAAGTTCATATCAAAATGTTTGGGAAAAATCACCGGTCACCTACTTGGTCTTCAACATTTGACCTGGGTATCCCGTTATAATGTATCAGGTCAAAGGTGTCTGGAGTTGATCGTTTTTCCTCCGGGAAAAACTCATCCATAAATGCGTTGAGCAAAATAATTCCGAGTCCTTCAGGGTCCAACTTTTTACTCATTATGTCAACGTATTCTGGTTCGCTGACTAACTCTAAGCATCTCAGAACATCCTGTAATACCGGGCTCGGTATGAAATTATTTCCGTCTGGATCGTATGACTTGAACACTCGACGTGCGACTTCACTCGGTGTTTCCTTGGACACTAAGTTCTTTTCATTGCTGAATAGCACTGTGGAAGTACAGAAATATATGATGGAGATAAATTAGAAACGGAGTCAAGTTCAAAACACTCCAAAAAATAGCTGACACTTTTGACAAAGACGAAAAAAGGTCGAACAATTCGAAAATTTACCTGTGAGATGTGTCTCCGAAGCCATCACCCAAACAGGATTCTTTGGATTTTTGTAAAAAGATCCGACGGTACAGTATCGTAGCTGCTCCATTAAAGTGAGAAATCCAATGTCTGACTGCTGCGAAATACCCCTCAACTCTGAAAGAGAGACACACACATGCACATTCTTTCCTAAACGAAAATGGTTTAACCGTGAGACTTACTCAGTCCTCCCACATCTTTGTCATGGTCCCATACATGTGGCACAGCTTGACCAGTAATCATTAAATTGATTAAACCCTGTGATCCACAGCCGTATTCATCGTGTCTAAATTTCAATAATTGATATTATGAATGCATGAATAAAACGTAATTTTTTCTTTCATATTTACATCAATGGCTCTGAACTATCCAGCAATTCAGCGATAATGTTTTGCACTTTCTGGAATCGATACAATTTCATTAGCTTATAAGCATCGAATGGGATTATGTACAAAAAATACAAAATGGAATTGGTTCTACGTGCCTTCGTCAATAGGACTGTGTACATGAATTTCAGAACACCATAGCTGCCGGTCAAAACGTGGTAGTTGTCCATGTAAAATTGTTCTACCTCTTCGATATTATCGAAAGAGTGAACTGATAAACGCTCATGGAACTCATCCGGGACCCATCCGGCGGTTCGTTGACTTGGTAAAACCTGAAATTGCATTAATTTTCATAAATGAAACCAATAAATAATAATTAAATAGAAAAATGATTTTCCTGTTCCTATTTACATTGGCGCTGGGTTCCGTTGAAGTTGAAGACTCAGCAGGTACTTGACTCAATTCTGGTACCGGTGCCGGGGCTGCTGTATTCGATGGTACAGTATCTTCATTTGGCAATGTGACTATTCTAAATTTATCGTCTTTGCATTTCTTCAAAATGGAGCAGATGGCTTGAATGAGCAACAATTTGCACTGTTCCGCAGTCAACTGCAAACAAACCAAGAACAAAATCCCATGAAATGATTCAATTCAATATCCATACAATAATACGCTAAAATTAGCGTTCACACTGATGATACAAATTAAATATTCAAGGTGCGATAAGTTTTACATTTTGTACACAAACAAAATCTCTCAAAAATTCCACTTGCAGAACAAAAATGTATAGATATGTCAAAATGTGCATTCGTGCTGACACATTTCATCTGTTACAAACGCATCTACACTCTTTCACATAGAAATATACAGCACACTGTGATGTTAAATAGATCGAACGCATATTGCACACTTACATCTCTGAAATTCTGACTACTCGTTTCTGATAAAACTGTTTTCAGTAAGTATGCCTGAACAGGTGCGATAACTGCACATGGGCCGCCTTGTCTTTGCACTAAAGCCGATGGTTCCGAGTCACTGAATTCGAAGCCTATATAAAGAAACGCAATAAAAAAAGCAATTAATCTAACAATTTCACTGAACAGGGAACAATCTCAATGTGTAGTACGCCTGCACGGGCATCAAATTATTAGAGAAAAAAATTCATGGTCACAAATGTCACTTTGTTGTTCAATTAAAATCAATATTTTTCGTGTAAACAATTCAATTCTTGTGATATTTTCATTGTTCTCAAACAATTTATTCGGAATTTTAGTTTGGAATATGGCAAATATTTACGGATTCACACAATTGTAGTGATCAATGAGAACAAACCTTGTGACCATCTCTGAAAAACATCGATACGAATGTTTGGGCCCCAGACAATTTCACGGAATTCATTCAGCTCCTGTTCGTCACTCAAATTTGATGAGGCTTGTGTCATAGAGGCGCTTGCTGCAATATCAGCCATATTCTTCACAATATTCTAAGCACTTAGCAAATTTATCTAAGAACGATAATTCGAATGTCGATCAAACGGCACAATTATTTCTCATGCAGCGGTTACTTTTTGGTTGCCAACCAGATGAATTGAATACACCCTGGAACTGATTGATGTACGAAGATGCGTTCAATCAACAGATAACAATAAGAATGAGATGGGCACTTCCAATTGACTCAGTTTGACGTGTGAAACACAGAAAAATTGATACGTACAATCAGCGATGGTGTACCACTTTATGTTTAATGTTGACTTTTTTTCATTCAGTGCAAATTTACTCCATTTGGAAATGGATAATCACTGTTTTTTCAGGTTAATAATAAAACTATGTTGGTGTGTTGGGTACGTGCTAATGCAAATGTGTCTTGTTTGTGTTTGCGACTGAGGATAAATTGTCAATGATGCAACAATAGCTGTCAAACCGAAGGCCTTTTGCGTTTAACGCAGCGTTCGCACGAATTTACTCGTTGCATTTTCGCGCAGTGGGTTATCGTTCGGGCCTATGTGCAATAATTTTTATTTGATTCATTTGAAAATTTTGATTTGCAATTATAATCGACAGTTGATTCATTTTTTGGATTTTTTCGATTTTTGGGAAAAGTTGCATTTACTCTCAACACCCCCGAAACGTGAAAGGTTGCTCCTTGATTTGACTAAAAATCCATCTAATTTTTCGAAAAAACGATTGTTTGTATGAAATTCGTGTAGATAAACGTTTACTGAGATTTTCTATAACCTTCTATTTGCTTCTCCATAGCCAAAATGTAGGTCAATACAGAGTGCAAAGAATAATGTTGATGTTATTTCTCATGAAGTTTTTCCATGTATTTTGAAAGCTAAAAGTTTTCGTTAACTTGGATGGACATTTTTGGAAAATTGAAGATTTATAGTGCTACAATAATCCACAATGTCCAATATTCATAATTATCATCATCATCAAATCGAAAATATGTAGGTCTTCACATTTTTTTACTAAATTCTACGGAATTTTTTCGGTCATTTTTTGGTCTCTCCAGAATGATTACAGTATAATTATTTGTATTGCATTCTATGATGAAAATATGTGCCAAAAAAAAAACAAAAGTTAGACAGATACACAGACAGTCAGACGAAAATTTAGCTTTATATTATATAGATGATCAACACAAACCATGATCAAACTACTAGATGAATAATGTAATTGGGATTTATGCTGTTTTTTACTATTATAAACAATTAAAAATAAAATAATAATAATAATAGATAATAATCAATACCCAGAACGCATACTAAAATGATTGTCTATACATTCATCAATTCCAAATAAGTTATAATAACCTCACCAAAAATAAGAGTGACTATCATCCATACCAATCATCTATACCAAACGATAATTTCTGAAAATAAAGTTAACTGCAACAGATATACACAACTCATTTATAATAGAATTTTTTGCAATCAATCGAAATATAACATGTGGTCGTCTACAGATCAGGAGTTGGACCCTAATGCTGCTCGAGTTCTGACCTCTTCTATTTAGATTGATAACCATTTAAATTTATTACCAAATTCCACGTAGCCTTGCAAATTGTGAATTAAAATTCGAACTATGTCATGAAAATGTGATTTACGAGGGGCAAATCACTCTAAAGTAATTTGTAACAGAGAAAGTAATCGAGAAAGTAATTTACGTGTAAAAATCTCGATTTACTTTTAAAAGTAATCGAGATTTTTACACGTAAATTACTTTCTCTATTACAAATTACTTTAGAGTGATTTGCCCCTCGGTGATTTAAAACATTTTAATCGAAATTTCTTGAATTATGGTTTAAAATTATCATATTTTATGCTCGGATGTGATAATGTAAAAAAAATCATGAAAAACATTCGCGGTTTTTTGAAAATAAGAAATACACCTGAGAGAGGTATACGTTATGTTTAATCTTTTATGTGATTCATGCAGAAAAACCAATACACAGTGAATCATGCAGAAGGTGTCCTTTTTTTCTTATGAATGTGACGAGTTTTTATATCGAAAGCCATGATAAAACTGTTACGTAGATTGCATTCGAACTAACCTCGTGCAATAATAGTTCAAATAAGATGAGTCGCGCTTTCGTTCTGAGGAATGCAAACAGAGTCCGTTCCTATTCGAATTACGTTGTAGTCATTACATTCAATAGGTGTATGCAATTCTACAAATGTTCACTTGGAATGTGGGTATTTTTAGAAATACTTTCGATATCCGTTTCCCCGAATCATCCATTCAATATATAGAAAATTCTGAATCATTCAATATATTTTCAATATATTGTACGTTGGTAATGAAAAAACGGTATTGTATTTACAGTTCGATTTCTATTTTGAACGGATCATTTGGTATTTTTATCATAAAGTAAAGCAGAAAAAAAGCGCTGTATAAAAATGAAAACGAATAACGAAAATGAGTTTTAGTGCGTGGTTAAACGTCGCCTACAGCATTTGTCCTGAATAGCTGATGAAAATTTTATCAAAATTGTTACACCAATCAACAGTGCAATGTTTAAACAGTGATAAGCCAAGAGATAAGCCGTGTCATTGTTGCTCTTACCGTTACCAACAAAAGAACGTCATGCAAATAGAAAAGCTTGACTGCGTTACAAATCCGCAAACCCTTTGATGTCACAAATATCGCGGATTGTTCGTTCGACAGACGCAATGTCGTGGATAAACATAGAGTAATGAATTCCAGCAATTGGTGGATTTTTTTCGTCATTCATTGCTAGCCATTGGTGTGATTGTTTGTTATTTACGCTAATTAATTAGAATTTAAAAAAAACTGGAATGGTGGTGTTGGTGGATGATTAGCAACATGAATTTCCCTATATAAAGGCGCTACCATGCAGGCAATGAATCAGTTACATTGCTACCTTGAATATATCAATATCTTTTGAGTGAATATTTTACAAAAAAAAGTGATATCATAAAACCTGGTGAAAATTGTACGAAATAGTGGCCCATATTCCTTTATAAAAGGAATTCAACTTTTAGTTTCAATGACTCATCGCACGACAAACTAAATATGGATCTGAATAGCAATTATGTGAGAAAATATTGACTGGCTTCTTCCTTTTGAAGTTTTGTGAATCGCATCAAAATCAACAATATTTTACCAACTATACTATACTCTTTTTTTTCTCGAAAATTTAACCCAACCTTGAGTGTTATCACCCATAGGTAAATAGAATTAATTAAAATATGACAATCTAAATTGATTTACAGCTGCTGATACCAATGGTTTTATTGGCATTACTATCGGTAAATCCAGCAATCGCGTCGAACTCGGAGCTTGATAGTGGTTTCTCTAAGCAGCATAGATTATTTAATAAATTAGGAAATAATTGGGCTATGGAGGCTTCCCCACAAATTGAAGCTACGTTTGATGAATCCGAAGACAGAGTCGATCCAGCCCTACGGTTCTTAGAAGAATTTTTAAAATCGCGCAAACGGTATTTTCAATTAGAATCATCAACATGATGAAAAAAAAACTCTCCATTCGATTTATTGAACAAGAAAACTACTTGAATTGCGAAAAAAATTATAACTTTTAGACCGCCAGTGGCTAGTTCTGAATACGATCAATACCCTGAAGGATCACGATATGAAAATGAAAGAGAAGTTCAGTCCAGCCATCCGTATGGCGTGCAAAATGTATACGACGCTTCTGTGGGACGACCATCTCGCTCCAAAAATCACCGCAGAGTAAATAAAATTGCTAAAATTTATAACAACTTGATTCAATCATAAGATTCGTATTCGATTTGATGTCATTTCAACTATCATTTTTTCAGTCAACATTCCAATCTCTTTGTCCGTCCAAAAGGGAAACAGTATTTTTGAATATGGATCCCGATTTTGAATATCGTCCCGATTATTACGAAGAAGTCCGATGTGCAAATCCAGTGGCTCACAGTGAAAATAAAATCCAAGAAGCGGTTAGTATTGAGTGGTTATTATTTCAAATTCTAAGTACTGAATACCGTTGAAATGATAGGTATGCAGTGAAGCTGGATTTTCGTGTATTCAACTGAACGGAACACTATTTTTGACTCGTCGTGCTCGTGGTGATGGATGTTGGGAATCCGAGGCACGTACCGTGGCTGCTGGTTGTGAATGTATGTGGCCTAAACATCAACTAGGAGACATTATGGCTCATCATTAGACTTTTTTCAACGAAATTCCATAACACAACTGTATTGCTGTTGCAACGATAAAACAACAAGAGACGAAAAAAAATAAAATTCGATGTTGTAAATGTATTTATTTATTATTGAAATTTTTGTGAGCTGGGAAATATATGACAAAAAAAAATAAATGTACGCAAAGAGAAAAAAAGAATCCGTATTTTTATTCCGTTGTGCAACTTCAAATGGGAAAGTGTCAAATAAGAGCCTTTTCAAACATCACTGACTATCTCTGTATAAGCCTTTTGAGCATGCGTACCAACTGCATCGCGTTGAATGCCATCAAACAAGCGTCACTTTGTGAAACCCGTTTAAAATTCATTATTATTTTGACATGTGTCTTCGGTTTATTCGGTTTATTTTATTATTCGTATTCAGTTTTCAACCAAACGGAAAACTACTTTCTCTTTGATGAGAGCTCGTATTTTGTTCACGACTTTGGAATTCAAAATTGACCGCAAATTCGATGCAGGTAGAAAAAGCATTGTTGGTTCGTTGGTAACGAGTGAAATATGAACAACTGTCCGACTGGGATTGGTACCAATTGTGCAAAACAATCAAATAGAGATTAGACGCAATATAATTGCCCGTTAAGACGACAACAAACCTCCAATTATTGGGCCATAACACTTTGATTCTTCTAACGTAAGTGTATTGTGACAAAGTTCAACTTGATTACTCACTCACCAATCGGATTCGTTTGAATAATTTACTTTTCCGAAAGAGTTTGTTGTGTGTTATTCAGATGTTTTCTTCACCTCATTCGAAGCAGATCACGTTAACCTATAGAATCGTTAAAATTCAAAAGAATCGAGTCCAGATCAAAGTTATTGTGGTGTAATGTAGTTTTTATTTCTTAACAATTAAAATTCATAAAGTAAAATCGATTGGTTTGTGAAAATTTGAGATGATGCTTCTGGCGAATGTGTGATGTGTTTGCCTGAAAATTTTGTCTTAAGTGCCAATGTCATCGAATGTTTGAGGTGTTTCTGGAACATAAATCTTGGGTTTTGTGATGAGCCGTCTTCGATCAGATACTTGTTGCGTGTGTCGATGGCCGGGCGTCTGGAATTATAGACAAAGTTCACATTATTATTGAATGGAAAATTGAATGTCATCATGATTTTATAAGTGTTAATCGAAATACTAAATGCATTAGACACATTCGCACATACAAATCACACAGACAAATCATTAGTAAAGCGGACGAGAAAAGAAAATGCTGGCCAAATATTGGGTTACAATCACTTTTTGCTGGGTCAAAATGCATAATAAACATGAATTAAACGAGACACCCTTTACCGTTGTTGAACGAAATGGAATGTTTGTCATGTATACAAAGAAGAAGCATTTGCTGACATCAGCACAACAACACCCAAAATGAGATGAGAACCCCCATTCACAAATCTGTTTATATACTCACACTCAGTGTTTACGCTATTTGTTGTTGAACACAGCGTTTCAAAATAAGAAACCTCTCAATATTAGAAATATGCTTATATCTTACGAATTGTTTATCAACGAATTTTTTTTTTCCAATTTGAACCGAATGAATGGAATTGATTGTGCATTCACAAAAATGAGGCTTAAAAAACTAGTTTCGATATGAAAACTGATTAACCCAGCTATAATAAGTAATCTAGAGGGAAAAAACGTAAAAAAAAGATAAATATTTAAAACAATGTGTCTCAGTGTGTAAAGCGCCGAACAAAAAATCAATTCACGTTGCATAAACTTTCGCACACTAATTGCTTGCGGTGATATCAAATCAATTGGAAAAAATTCAACAAATAATATGTACACTTTCAATTGATTGTATTTCAAAATGACGTACCTCTTGGCATGAGCATGTGTTTGAATCGAAGTACGTTCCTGTGGAGCAATCTTTTACTTCACGACAACGACATGTGCAACTGTCTGGATCCCACATTTTCTCACTTATCTCCTGAAGAAAAAAACAGTTCAAGTGTTAAAATAATTCTCGGTAATAAATCGGTCAAACAAAGGATCCATTCAACTTACTGCCAGACATTTGTTTTTATCTTCAATATTAATGCATACGCACAAACATTGTGCCTTGTTGTATCGTTGAAACTTCGTGCAATCGCTTTCCTTTTTCCTGCAGTCACATTTGCATTTCGTGTGCTCTTCAACTTCTATTAATTCCTTGTTCAAGAACTTCATTTTTCCACCGCCGTGGTATTGCGATTTGAAGACCTATTAATTGATTAAATTCGGTTATTCTCATAAAATGGAAAAACATTTCTTGAAGAAAACATCTCGTAACAGAGCCAAACGAACCTCATAAACAATATTATTCGTTTCGACTGGTTGACAGGACACGAGATTATTGTTACAGCATCCACCACAGCGTTTGACGCGAGTGCAGGATGGGAACACAACAATGGTTGGGTCTTTGATATCGGATCCATCGGACAATTTGAGTGGAACTACTGTCATCTCTGGTATACAATTGGCTGGGACTGGCCGAGAACCTCTCGAACGCTCCACTTCTTCACCACCAAAACGAGCTGGAATAAAACAGAAAGAAGCAAAACTCATCAATTTCTTTGTTATTTTCTTTGCAGAAATTTACTGTGATTCAAATCGAGACCAATCTTAACAATGGAAGCAAAGGACGTGTTATCCCATTTTATGGAAATGTGCCATAGTCGAAACGAGTTTTTCCGCTACAATTTGGCATCGAATGCTGTACTCGATTGGTTTGGTCGCACAATTCAGGGCAACAAGTGCATTGAACGATTTCTACAATGTGATGTTTGGCCACAGTATGAGCAGAATTTTGTCGCTGCCGTTACATGTGATTCAATTGAGACCCGACCAACTCATGAACAAGCGTAAGCATATGGCAAAATTACTACTTTTGTCTGAGAAAGTCTTTATATCTAAACTTCTGATTTACGTTTGTAATGATTCTGTTTTCTAATCACGCTCCAATACCTTCGTTCACTTTCATTTAGGAAAGAGACACCAATCGAGAATGCAATATTGTGTACGTCATCGGATGTGCCATCCGCTTCGGGCTATGAAAGTCCGACGCCTTCAAAACGAAATTTGGACAAACCACCACCGCTTCATCGAAACAGAAGATTCAAGAAACGTATAAAAGAGTATCACACGGCGTCTTCAAGTTCGGATGATGAATGCGAAACGCAGCACAAATCGTACAATTTGCGTCGAACGAGATGCGAGGGAAGCCCAAGTCAAAGTAAAAATGTGATCAAGCCAGAATCAGAAACTGTTCAGCCTCAGGAGTATTCGGGTCGGATGTTGCGTAAGCGAATTGTCGAAGAGGCCAAAACAAGTCCCACTCAGGATGATCGTAGCTCATCTCCAATGAAACGATCAAAGAAAATGTTGGACAGCATTAATGATACATGTGGCGGTGCCTCGTCGAGTTCAATGGGCTGTACATCGGCAGGTGATTTTTCGAAGCCATACTCAGAACTCAAATATTTAGAATCAATTGGTTCGATTCGAACAATTCGCCGCGCGAAACATCCGGGTATCAACAAAGTTCCTTCTGCAAAAGCAATTACCGCAACACCGTTTGTATCGCCAGAGTCACAAAATGGATGGGACCGAAAGACAAAACTGAAAATTTCCTATCGAACGGGGTTGGTAAAAACGGACGTTCAATATGCCCTCATCATTTACGAGCCGCTAACGATGATTACACGACGAAATCTACTGGACGAATTCGAAAAAGCAGCCGAAGAGGAACAACACCAAAACAAATCGTCATCGAAAGCGCCCTTCTCATCACCACTCGGACCAATGCAGAATCCACGAGAATCCATCAATTTAAAAACCCCGACAATTCGAACGAAACCAAAAAACGATAAAGTGTCGTCATTACGGCGATTACGGTTTTAGTTAGATGTAGTTGGTTAAAACCGAATACATTACTAGAGAAGAGACGGTGATCAATTATTGTTCAATGTTTGAAAAGATTGTTAAATGACAAAAACAAAAACTCGAAAGAGAAACATTTTAAAATGTTTGAAAACACCGTTGTAAAATAAGATGTTATAATTTTTAGTTTATGACCTAGTTTCTGTAAGTTAAAATGTGGTCTTTGATGTTTCGTATAAATTAGAAGTAATTTTTGCCATATTTGTATTTGTACTAAGAATTAAACCTAATTGAATAAATGGTTGTGTGTTTTTTTTCCCTCCGACAATTGCTCAATTTCAAAAAAGAGATGCAACTTACGTGATATCATTTGGACTTGCCCACGCGATTCTTCATCCAAGAAATTGAAAAAATCCTCGTAAGTATTCAAATCATTGGTAACATTCATCGGTACAAATGAGACCTATGAAATAAAAATGGACGAAATTCCGTATGATTCAAGAGTTTAGAAATAAAATGAAAATAGCAGATTTTAAATATGAAAAAAGATAAAAGTGTATACATCGATTTTGATGTATTGTTTTCTTTTCATTTTAAAGCGTATTTAATGAAAATATCAACCAGAAGTAGAGTGATTCATTGTCTATTTGAGCGATAAGCACCTCACTCATGTCCAGAGCTTTTGAATACTTTTTTTCTTCAAATAAATTCACATTACAATTGTGTTTTGATAGCATTGAACGTGTGCTGAGGTGTCAACGCCAGAATTTGATAAAGCAAAGCCACTGAATAGCGTATTAAATTTTGAATGTGTCTACGTCATTGCCATTGTTTGCCACTGAGAAAATATTTCGTGATTTATAGCACCGCAACAGTTCGAATGTGATTTCTGTTTGGAATTGTAAACACGTTCAGAGCTGATAATTATATTAAAATTGAATACGAAAGGTTCATGTGGGCGCGCGCGCTCTCAATACAGAAGTCAAAAACACTGTATCACCGTATTAAATCGATACACTTGCCGCTACCTGATGTCGCAACTCATTTGTGTAACTCTGTATGAGCATTGTTCTATATTAAAAAGACACCTATGATTATCTTTTCGTCCGTTGTCGCACACCATTTCGCTCAAAATTACAAACGGATGAATCATCCACTTGCACAAACGCTGGTACTGAGTGGCTCCATCCCAACATACATATATCCAGTTTATTGTACGATCAGTTGAGCACAGGTTGACAACGTTGAATGAACCATCGTCGCACGAATTATGTAAATAGGCATTCGGGCATATTGCTGTCGATAACAGACTGACGCTAAAACAAACACCACATATGATTCATGCGCCGTAGTAAAAATCTGTTTAAAAAACAAGCTTATTCTGAACTTTGTGCACATCTGCCGAATCGTTCTATTGTGCGCGTTCTCTCTCTCTCAATCGAGTTGATGTTATTGCGTGAGCAAAACGGATGTCCCAAATTACCGCTAATCATATCGCTTCAATTAAATAAAATGCTGAACTATCATCGCACGGTTTTATATGGATTTGTTTGTGACAATACTCGCTTGGATTTCACAGTGTCTGGCCGTTTTTTCTTCTTCTCTCTACCACTGTGCCGACTGAACACTCGATTGTATTGGTTTTTATGCGTTTGTGATTTTGAATGCAATCCCGCTCATTCGCTCATGCAACTGCATAAATTCGTCTGATTTGCATTTAAATTTATGACGCGCCGTATCGATACACCTATTTTGTTATGCTCTCTCCTTCGCTCATCGATTCGGTTTGGTTTTTGACTGTGTAACATTGGCTCACGCTGCGATGCGGTGCTTTGTCACACCTTTCACTGCACCGCATCATTTTGACAACGGTGAATCATCGATTTTGATCCTACATTTAACTGGTGCAGCATGCTTGAAAATTATTTGTGTGTGGCTTTCGTCTGCCCTACCATTTACATACGATTTCCTTTATGCACACGATTTCCACGAATTCGACACACACGATGCCGCATTCCGGATTCCTGAATCCATTTTACAGATCCATTGATAATTCCAATTTTTACATAGCGAAAAAAAGAACAATTGAGAAGGCACACGGTGTTGTCGTAACGAAAATAGCATCTGTAACAACTGTTTGCTCTTATCGAAAATTCATTCAGAAATTTTACGTAAATGTCTCTTGTGGTCGTCAATTTACTTTTAATTAATTGTTTTTCTGTTCGTTCTGTTGCCTTTCTTTGTTCATTGATTCTGTTTACATTTGAGGAGAACGGGAATTCCGAGAATCAAGTGTGTACACTTTGTTTGAATCATTTCTGTTTGGAAGAAAGAGTGTTTGTTCTAGATCATCGTGACACGAATTTAAATAATATACATCGAACAAACTGTATATTGAATGTGAGTGCGTGAGCTTGAAATATCTTTCAAAACAAGTTTGTGATGCAAAATAAGTTGGTATCGATGAGAATCGGCCGAAAGTTCATTTTCGAATGGTTTCTTTTTTTTATTCAAATTTGAAAAACTTGTATCGATAAATAAGTTTGCTTCGATTGAGAGTGAAAAAAAGAGAAGTCCGACCGTTTAGTCGGTCAACTGCGGCATAAGTTGCTGATTGTTCAACATCAAAATCGTAACGTCTTATTGAAGTATCAAGTAACTAGACATTATCAATGCGTAAATGATCGTGTGGGTAAAGTGGTTGCAAATTTACTTTTCGGTAGTTCGGTTTTCGATTGTCATTCAAATATTTGCCAAAGGTGGGCGCTATCACTTTGTGCGAATTCCCGTTGCGGTGAACAAAAAAAACACATTTACAAACGATTCCATAATCGGCATTATTTATAGATCGTATTCTTAGAACTATTGGCATGTATTTGGTCTTAATTTCAGACAGGTTGCATGTAATGTGACGTCGATGAACGATAGTCGTTTGAAAATTGTCAACAAGTTTGCCGAAATACCTATATATGTATATATTCTACAAATTGCAAAATTTGACAAAATGAGCAAATAACAAGACAACGTCTGTCCAAGCGACAGGTCAATCCAAAGTGACCACGTAGAAAATGGGGAATCCAGGCCATAAAAATGTTTTTTTTACTGAATAATGACAACTTGATCGGTTTCACCACAGCTGAGGAATAGTAATTAGGCTTGCGTTCACTTTCAGAGAAACCTGCACTGGAAATTAAAGTGCACTCACAACAATGTGACGGCTTCGGCGGCAGCCGTACATATTTCACTCAAACCGAAATGTGATTCATCACAAAACGACGAACGAATCACGGCTTTTAAGATTAGGATGAGAAATATTTAAAGAATTTCAAGAATCAATCATAGGTTTTTATGGAAGTGAAAAGGTAGCAACAGTTAGTTGCATAAGTCCACTCACCTCATTTGATTGTTGATGGTCATCGCCATTTCTATTATCTTTTTTATGGCGTTCGTTGAAAGTGTTCTGATTGTTGACGCTATGTATTAGGCTCACCGGTGATATGCTATCGTCGGGGAATCTTATTAAATCCCCATTACCCGGCAACGGTGCTGCATTGAAGCCATTATAGGAGGGTAAACGGCGACGATCTTGTGTGAATGCATACTGACGCGGCGGCGTATACTGGTATGCCAATGCTTCTTGTGTAGTCACGACACCGCACAATGCGATCACCACTAGGCACAATAAAATGCCAAACATTTTTAATTTATAGCTATTTACTTCAAACATTCTTCTGAATTGTTCTATTCGATGTGCTAATTGATATCGTTTCTTTGGCTTGTGTTTCACTTAATTGTCGGAAAATGCATATCCATTCACTGTAAAAACAAAATTATTTATTACGTCTCAGCTCAATGAAATACGCGGAAAAATTATTTAATTCGAGAGAAAAAAGAAACAAATTGGAATTTCGTGCGGTTCTAATTAAAACGGAAATGATGTGAGAAATACGGTTTACGTTCAACTAATCGTCAGTGCGGCAGAACCGAGCTTTTTATGAAATCTTTTTTCACCTTTTGCTGTTTTCTTATCAAAATTAACATGTTTTACGGTCACACATTTACAAAATGCATTCTAATCACTTGTTGACAAAGAAGATGAAGCAAAATATCACCATTATTCCTGTAGACTATTTATAATTTATCGAGTATTCGGATCACAAGCATTTGAAAAATGTTTGTGGCAAAAACGAAATTGGCATAGTAGCCATTAGTTTATACATTTATACGATGAAAATGGCACGTTCTCTGACATTCTGTGTTATGATTCAATCGCACAGTTTTGAATGTGCATCACTCCAAAATGCCGATAGACAATAGAAATTCTATTGCGATCCGTTGTTTTTGTAATAGATTTCAATGCTGACATGTGATTATCGTCGCATTGTTTGGTTGACCGTAATTGTTATGTGTGTTTTTTTCTACCTACATTTCGGTTGATTTTCTAGGAAACAACGTATTGTGTACGGAAAACACTGTTCAAAATAAGCACACACACACGAAAAAAATTATTGCGCCAAAAGAAAATGTGTTGTTTTTAAAACAAGTCCACTTTGTGTAAGAAATAGCGATGTCAAGATTACAAAAATTACTTATCAAGCAATTCGTGTGCGCATGATAAGCGATCACCGTTCAATGAGTTAGTTTTTATCAAGGTTCGAGTATTTAAGGAGTGATCTCAGCGATGAGTCCTCAACATGAAAAACGGTTGAGGAGTAACGTGCTGGTTTTAACTAGATCCGAACATAAATCACACAAGTGAATTCCGTTCTCGAATCATCACGAATTTTCAAGCCATATAATGACGAGACAAGAAGGGGATAGATGAGCCACAACTCGCACACAAAATAATGTTAAGTAGTTTCATTGAACAGAACGACACTGGCTGAAATTGTTATTTGCTATTAGAATCGCAATGACGACAGCGATAACGATTAGAGATCAAGAGGATGTGAAGAAATTGGATTAAATTGATTGTTATGTGTCGGCTTAATTCGGTTTGCAGATGGCATAATTTTTATGAGTGGCTCATATCACGCATAGAGCTTGATTCATGACAATCTCTAACTTCATATCTCACACACGAAATTCGTTCAATATCATTGTTGTTTGTGATTCTTAGCTTGACAATGATTTCCGAAATATGATTTTAATTCAACACCGTGTTATTTTTTGTTATTTATTTATCACTGGTTCACATCATACACATTTTGAATCGTATGCAGCCAACGAAATCGATCAAGGTTATTCAAATGCGGAACAATAACTTTTCATGACACTTGTTGCTTAGATTTATCGTACATTCCTACATTTTCAAAACAAAAAAGTGAAAATATTTATCTTCGTTCGTTTTTTTTTCAACACAAGCATATCGTAATACATTTGCATAATAGTAGCCACAACAACAAACAATTTCACCTCAATCTCTACACAAATCGTCGATATCAAGTGTAAAACCTATCGTATTTTTCTCGTGTGTTTTTTTTTGCCTCGTCACATTTCACAGATTTGTGTATATGCTTTAGTGTAACTGATGAGAGTTATCAGAATATGTAAATAACTGACGTTCAGTAAACATGAAACAAAAATGTTCCATGCAAATGAACATAAATAATAACAGCCAAACAAACAATACCCGATAAAAAAAAACCAAAACTATATGTAGTGTATTTGAAATGAAGTGGAAATCACTGTGGCGATGCACAGCGCACGCACCATATAGCACCGACTAAACACTTTGATTTCATTCAACAGGTAATCGCTAACTGAAAACACACAAACATTCGTCCAGATATTTTATTGAATGTCGCGCACGTATCCACGAACATCATATGGGAGGTGTTGCTGCTTTCTGCTACTGTTACTGCGACTTTGTGTTGTTATATCGATGTGTTGTATGTGTGGCGCGCGCACACATTGTGTTTCTCCCTGTGTCCGCATATTCATTTGTGTGTGTGTGCGTGTTGCTTTTTGTAAACTTGTTGCCGTTTATTTGGCGATGGCATTGCTCCATGATCACATTATCTTACATTCAGTGTCACTTTCATACGAATTCAAGCAAGAATCATAATTCCAAACAGAATCCTGTTTTGCATCCTATGGAGGAGAAACGATTTGCTTGCATTTTCAATAAAAAAACCCTTTTGCTCACACTTTTGGAAATTGTGTTGATTTTGATTAATTTTCCAGCATTTTTTAAAAGACTGATCATTCATATTGGTCATGTGAATACATTTCATTATACGCTATGATACAGTAGCACAATCAACCCGTTAAACGTAATACTAATGATTTAAATCAGCAACATTTATCATAGACTTAAACCTCGTCAAATGGTTCAAAAACTTGAAAGTGGCGCGTAGTTTATGACATTGAATCATTTTGGTCACTCGTTGCGATGACGTTTGGGATTATTTGTTTACATTTGATTTTGTTTTTTTTTTTCGTATTGATTGTGGGAAAGTAGCAATCTTCTTTTAAAAAAAAGTATTAATTCATTTTATTTTGGATATTTAAATTTTTGATAAGAAAAAGCGACTAGTTTCACAATGCACACAAGTAAATCATCGACAAATTACCTCCTGAATGCCGCATACAATGATGAAACGTGTCAAGATCCACTTCGAGTGAGTTTGTGTTGATCAAATTTAGCGTATTTCCACAATTGTAGTGATTTCAATGGTCACATTTGTTTTTCAGATTGCATTTCGATTGGCAAAAAGTGGAAAGCATGTGTTGTATATTGCTGCCAAGCCACCCGAATCGCTGCCCATTGAAGATGAATACGATGATGAATTGTACCGAGACATTCTGAAGAATATCGTTTTTAGTTACTCATCGAATGCGCACGATCTGATCAACTATTTTATGGGTATACAGCAGATGCAACCGAGGCCTGAAGTATTGGTTGTCGACTTTTTGCATACATTTTTCGACAATGTATCGTCTCTGGACACAGATCACCAACTACAACGGTATTTCATCGAGTGTCACATGTTGATAACTGCCGGTGCTATCAGTGCTGTTGATATGTTATCTAATGATAGTGTCACCCAATTCATCAGCATCATTTCCATCGATCCTGACTACCATCGCATTTACAAACGATTCATACAAACATACATCGATTCGTATTACTACAAAGAAGGCTGTATTTCAACATCTAGTGATTTATTAAATCGTTTCTGTTAGAACAAAACAGCAACAATTGGTTCGATTAGGAAAATAAATAGATCTTCATTTATTTAATAAAATACTCTTTACATACACACATAAAATTTCTTTCAAATATCAGTAAAAACGGATAATAATCAATTCACGAAAATAGTCTCCTCTTTCAGAATATTTTTCTATTCTGTTCGAGTTAATTACGTACTAATGTTTACAATTAATGGAAATGGCTCATTGTCTGCTTCACTTTTGTTTTTGTTTTTAAAATATATACTCTCTTTGTTTCTTTTTCTGTTTAGTATTGGCTTCCCCAACATGCATGAAACCCTAATTGTACAATGCGATATAAATAAAAAAATAACAATATCTATACAAATGTTTGTCATGCAATAAATCCGTTGCTGTCAATTCAAGCCTTATCGAATGTTGACTGCTCAGTGCTCAGTGATTTCTGATGATATTATAACTTCGCGTTGAATAATCATTGTCAGTACGAACAAAGCTCCGTTTGATGGTGACATCAAATGTTTCCTTCCAAATAGCAATCTGGTAACAATGAATATAGATTAATTGGATTGAAAGAAACATATATTTGCCTTTCAAATTACCTGTGCATCGTCCAAGTGAACACAAAAACTCAGATCAATCAATTTCAATTTTTGACACTGGTTTAAAATTCTGAAAACAATTGAATATTTTTAGCGTTTAGCTCATTCATCAATTTTGTGTACGAATAAACTTACAGATAACATTTTTCCGTTGATATCCCCATGACCCCCAGCAAATCAAGCTGAAAAAAATATCAAAGAATGAATCGAATGAGAGTGAAAATATGATACCAATTGCTACAAACTGCTAGTATTACTTGTTCCAAGTTTTGGCAAAATTTTGCGATGTTTTCCAAGTCACGGTCGTTCAATCCACGTATCGCTGCCAAGAACAGTTTCTTCAGGTTTGGACAACCCTTGAGGAGTTTCAGCAAACTTTCTCCCGGCGACGCCTCGTCACGCAAACTGTTGATGAAACACGTATGTGTTTAGTAAACCATTCCATTAAAGAGTTCTCGTTTCACTTACCACCATCCAAAGTCGACTTCTTCCAATTCTGAGCAAGAAGCTGCCAATGCTCTGAGTCCAGTTGATGATAGGCCTCGTGATTTCCACATGTCGATTGATTGAATGTGAACATTACATCGAGATATTGTTGTTGCTACCTGATCCATATTTGCCTGGCTAAATGCCAAATTGATGTGTCTCAGATTGGGATTATTTTGCAACATCAACATGATTTGCTGCTCCGGAATATCAACATGGAACAGATCCAATCGTTCCAAGCTCTTGAAGCGGCCAAATGGATTTCCGGTGACTCTTGAGATCGTTGCATTTCTTAGCGACAGTTCTGAAATTGAAAATGAATTCCAATTTGATTGAATCTAAAAAATTGATTTGAAATGGGTTTTAACAAAAGCACAGAAATACCTTTCAAATTATCACAAATCATTGAGACAGTTTCAAGACTATCCGAACTTAAGAATTTTACTGAATTTAATCTTAGATGCGTCACTTGTTTGCCACAATGCCGAATGAAACTGGGAGAGAAAATGAAATAATCGCGATTAGAACATTGAAAATGGGTTCATTGTAATGGAAATATTCATTACAAAATCAAATAACTAACTCATTAAAGTCCGATGACGTCAGGTCATTGAATAGACCGCACCAGGAGAGATCGACCTTCTTGAGGAAACGGCATCGTGTCTTGAAGGTATTTAATACTGAGGCATCGATTACGTCCCAATACGGCATCAAATTGAGTTCAGTGTATAGCGATGGATCGCGCGCGATTTGATGATAGAATTTCCGACAAGTTTGCGACATACGACACAATGACACCAAATCCAAATAGGAACAAATTTTCAGCGAAATTTCAGACTGAAAACGAAAGAGAAGAAATAACACAATGATATTAAAATGATTCTCCCGTTGAACAGTAAAATGATAATCGAATGACTATGCGAATAGCAGACTCACAGGCATATTTTTCAATGTGTGTGGATTCTTTTCAGATGCATCAGGTACACATGAACTTAAACTTCGGTTGTCACCACAGTTGATTTTAGCTATAAAATTTTCGAGGTCTTTTATCAAAAAGTCTTTGAGCATTTGATCTTGGGTTTGATTCGATGCTGGCACAGTTGTAAACGATACTTTTTCTAATTTTCTCTGAATCGGCCCCTTGTTTGCCTGTGACAAATTCATGAGCTGTTGCAAGTCACCGCGTGGCGTGAATTTCACACCTTCCAACAAAACACCATCAATTTCCGTGAAATAGTCTAAATTTCGATGATTGAACTCAATGCGAATGATTCGGGTGGGTATTTTGATTTCATTGATCGTTGGCGAAAAGATATGAGAATCATTTGAGAATATCCGAGTGTCTGAGTCGTTCGATCCATCGTCTTCCCACAAACAAATCCATCTTTCGTTTATGGTAAATGCCCATAATTTAACGATGGCACCAGGATTATATGTTTCATAGATCGATATTTCATTGGGGAACACAAAGTCCTCAAATTCAATCACTGGAAGATAAAACAAAATACGATTATGTTAAAATGGCTAGTACATAACGAAAGTAAAAATAACCATTACCTATGAAGTCTTGTGGCATATTATTTTTCACGGTTTGCGGCATAATGTCAGTTAAGCGAGAAGGCGCCATGTCCCACCATCGACCGTAAGTTCGCTATAAAAAGAACATAATCCAATTGAACTGTTTAAAGCTACAAGACTAAAACAACGTCCGCTCTTGGATTTTACTATATCGCTTACCATGGCAAATGTTTCCGGAAAGTCGCCATAATTGGGAAATTTCGACGGCCGCCCCGTAATATTGCACGCTGTATATGAAATACTGTTGTCACTGCCGTACTGTGAACTGAATTCTAAGACACGAGATGCAAACTGGGAAATTGGCGTTTCCTTGCTCTGTGCTAGCCCATTGCACAGTCCATAAATGTCATCAGTTGTTATTTCGGAGGTTGACGTTGTTGATTTGGTAGCCGATGTACTGATCAACTCATCAAAGGATGAGGATGAGGATGTTGTTGTGGGAACTGCACGGAATAATTCGTTGTTAACATTATGAAACATTTTCTGCGTTGCTTTCAGTCAACGTCTCGAAAATGCACTCGGAATTCTGGCGTCACAACTTTCTAACACAACGCGATTTGTTGCAAAGTCACCTTCCGAACATTTATCTCAAGCAATGTTTTCTCTTTCCTTTTATTGAACGTTTTCACTGTATATGCACTTGGTCTGCTTTCTTTTTTATCAATTGAGAACTTTCATTCCTTATTTGACGGCCGTTTATCTAGAGTTTAAAGTGCCATCTAAGCTAATTGAGATCATCGGCCGCGATAACTTAACACATACACACAACAAGCTATCAGAATTTATTCTACTGGTTTTGATTTTATTTTCATTCACGACCAAATGCCAGAGAGTAAAACCACAAATGCACCCAGCCTAATCTAATTCGGATGTGAAATAATATTCACACAGAAAGTCAAGCAGACTGCTCACAAACAACCATAAATTTTTTTCGTATAATTAAATTAATATCGTGTGTGCACTCATGTTTCCTCTTCGTTTTACATCTACTTTGTTTTGTTTTACAGACTCTACTGCACTAATCCAATTCAGTGTGGTGTGTGACTGCACATAATTTCGTTTGATTCAATGTTTTTTTTCCTTCTTCCCTTCTTGTGTATGCGTTCTTGGCTTTTCTGTTGCCTTTCATTATTATTGACACTTTGTGAAACATCAGCTGCTCCGTACAACGCACACCATCGCAATGCGCTCTATTTACAATCCATAACATTGTTTCACGTTTGCTTACGAACATTTACATGCACAAGAAACGAGTTTGACTCTTTGTGACACGTTCACAGTGTCGATTCGCTGTTCATGAAACTGAAAAATGTGCAACAGAGAAAGAAGTGATATATTTTTGGTTCGATGAAATGAAATCGTTCATGGAGTGAATAGAATAACATAAAATTCGTGGAATGTAATTTTTCTTTAAATACATCATTGAGAATAAGCATGAATGTTTTTGTTTGAAAACTTAATGAAGTGTAAACCGCTCCCAACGCATTGCTGTCAACTTTTACGAAACTACGAAATCAAGACTACGCACAACAGCCCATTTCAAACAAGGCATTTCATTTGCTAACCGACATTCACTCACTCAGATCTCGTCTGAAACGTATATATTTGTTCTATTTTAACTTTCCAATTTATTTTCGCGTATTTGTCTGAGTTTTTAGAAGAAAAAATTGTTATTCTGTTGTATTACATATCATTAATGACGAGAGAGTAGAAAACTTTTGTAAAAGTGTTTTTTTTTTCGAACTTAAAGTGTTCTGCATCGACAAAGTGAAAATTCTTCACAAAATCATTGTGCATTGTTGTTGTATGTAAGTATCTTTCCGGAACCAATTGATTGATCTTCTGTGAATATTTTCGATGCGAATCCAAAATTACATTCTTTTCTACCATATTTCAATAAAAAAATAAAAAAGACAATTTTCGACTAATTTTTTTTTATCAAATGTGCATGCATTTGTATGTGCATTGTCCAAAGGCATCAATAAATAGTTATGCGGCTTTGCATAACGGTGCCGCGTCGCGCAACAAACGAACACAAAGCACGCTCAACAGAGCATTTTTTTACATTTCTTTACGGCAAATAGAAGTGGACGAACACTTCTTGGAATTTTACACCAACCATGTGTGTGTCCATCAGATTGTATCTTTTGGCATTCCGGCTTGTTTTACATATCGATGTTCTCCACAATAGAGTATCTATACGAATTTCATTCCAAAAGTGGAGGCATTTTAAATGCTTAGTTATTTTTTCTGCATTTCAATGTTTATAAAAACATCATGTGTCGTTCGTAAAAAAAGATTCGTTTCATTCGGGTACACAGTAAAATAGCAAATTGATGTGAAGTATTGCTTGGTCGCATTTTTGTCCAATTTCTTCGGTTTAATTTTGGTCGCTTTATTGGAATTTTGATCCACAATTGATTTTTTTTATTTTTTCTACCTTCTCATTGTTTTTCTCATCGTTTTCGTTTGGTCTGTTCATTTTTTCTATCGACAGATTAAACTGATTTGCTAGTAATCAAACACAATGGCATCGGATGATACAGTAAAAGTGGCCGTTCGGATTCGGCCGATGATTGATTTAGAGAGAGGCCGTGGTTGTCGAAGTATTGTGAGCAAAACAGCAACACAACCGCAGGTTGTTGTGAGCTCTGGTATAAAAACATCTGAGATGTACACATACAACTATGTTTTTGCACCAGAAGATACGCAAGAGATGATCTACGAAAATGCCGTGAGAACGATGGTGCTACAGCTGTTCGATGGCTACAATGTGACAATTCTTGCATATGGTCAAACTGGCAGCGGGAAAACGCATACCATGGGAACAACATTCAACGGAGTCGAAGACGAAGAGATGGGTGTGATTCCCCGTGCTGTCGGTGAAATATTTAATAAGATCATAACGATGGAGACAGACGTCGATTTCACCGTGAATAGTTCATTTGTGGAATTATATCAAGAGAAATTATATGATCTGCTATCGTCAAATCAACGAGAACAAAGTATCGTCGATATTCGAGAGGTTGAGGGTAAAGTGATAATACCGAACTTAACCGAGAAGATAGTTAAGGACACAGAGTCCACGTTCAAGTGTTTGATGGAAGGCTCAAAGCAACGTGCAGTGGGAGCAACCAAAATGAACAATGAATCAAGTAGAAGCCATGCAATATTCACCATAACCGTGCAAAAGATACCGAAGGACGATCCAGCTTCGGCTACAATTGCTAAATTCCACCTAGTTGACCTGGCTGGATCAGAGAGAGCTAAGAAAACGGAAGCAGTTGGTGAACAGTTCAAGGAAGGAGTGAAAATCAATCAAGGTTTGTTGGCACTTGGTAACGTTATATCAGCTCTAGGTTCATCTAATCAGAATAGCGGGCATGTTGGCTATCGAGATTCCAAGCTAACGCGATTATTGCAAGATTCACTCGGAGGAAATTCGAAGACGTTAATGATTGCATGTGTGAGTCCGGCTGACTACAATTGCGATGAAACGATTGGTACATTGCGATACGCCGACAGAGCACGTAAAATCAAAAACAAACCGGTCGTCAACGAAGATCCAAAAACAGCTGAGATCAATCGACTCAAAGCGGAGATTCAATCGCTTCGAGTCGAATTGTTGTCGAAGAGTGGCGTTGGTATGACAGCCGTAGAGAAATGCAAGTCTTGCGCTGAACCACCAACAAAAGCGCAGCTGCAAAAGGAGAACCGCGAAATGGCCGAGAAAATGCAATTGGCGCTGTTTGAAATGGCCCATCGCGAGAATGTATTGACCGAGTATGAGGAGACGATTGAATCGTTGAATGCGAAAGTTAGTGATTTGAAGGAGCAGATCATTCAATTGGACAAGGCAAATACAACGAACATGTCACCCGATGAGCTGAAAGAATACGGAGAAAAGGTTCACCAGATCACATCAACGATTCTTGACTTGACACAACACATGAAAGAACGAAATGATTGCATCGTACAAAATTCAAAGCCGTCAGAATCAAATTCGCTCAATGGATCGACACGGATATCACTTGCAGATAGCGCGGAAGTTACAGAAACTAACGTCAACTACATCAATCAACAGACTGAATATCAGCAAGAGCTGCGCGATGTTAAGTCAGCGTTGAATATCAAAGAGTTTCTTCACCTGAGGCTGATTGAAAACCACAAAAAGGTCGAAACGAAATACATCGAAGAAAAAATGCAAGGGTTTCAAGATATGATCAAGAAACTGGAAAAGGAGCAAGAAGAGCTAAAAGCTGCGCTACGTGGCAAAAATGGTTCAGTGTCCGTTAAGTTGGCCGAAGAGCGGCGAAAGCGTGTGCAACAGCTTGAAGGTCAGATTTCTGTATTCAAGCAGAAGAACAAGGAACAGGCTCAATTGCTGAAACAACACGAAAAAGATGGTGATGCAATCAAGAAACTGAGCAACGAAATCATGGAAATGAAACAGGCCAAGGTGAAACTAATCAAAAAGATGAAATCCGAGAGCGATGAGTTTCGACAATGGAAAGCCCAGCGTGAAAAGGAAATTGTTCAGATGCGCACGAAAGAACGAAAACTTGAGTCGGAAGCAGTGAAAAAGAATTTATTGAATGAAAAACAACGCATTGTGTTTAAGCGCAAATTGGAAGAATCAAATGCGCTCAACAAGCGGTTGAAGGAGGCCCTACTCAAAGTCCAGAAGAATAAAGAGAATAAACAGGCAAACAAAGGTGTTCCGATGCAAAAGTCGGCTTGGTTGAATGAAGAGATTGAGGTGATCTCGTCAATTGTTGATATCAAGCAGTCGTACGAGCAGCTCAATGAGGCTAGAGCCGAACTCACCAAGAAATTGAATCAAGCAAAGCGTCAAAAGCCAATCGACAAGGATTTAATCAAGGAAATTGATGAAGAAATTGCGATGCACAATGCCCAAATCGATAATTTACGCGGCAAAATAAATGCAAACGATCTCGATTCAAAGTTAAAATCGATTCAGGATTCATACACAAGCCTGCCAGAGAGTCGAAGCATTGTCCGGCATTTGCTCAACCATTTGGTGGAAAATCGTGGCACATTCAACACTCATTTTGCACAAGCACGCGATTTGAAGCACAAGGTTGAAGCGTTGGAGGAAGAGAAACAACAGATGGCCGTACAACACAAACAAAAATTGGACGAAGCCCAGAAAAACCTAATTCAATTGAGGACGGAAAATGTTGAGAAACAATCAGTTCTGCTGAAGGCGCTTGCATCTGAAGGTAAGTGTAACATTCAATGGACGATGAATATTTCATTCAATTGATTTTGTTTGTTTTGAATCAGGATCTCAATCAGAGCTGATTGAATTGTTGCAGCGGCAATTGGATGAAAAAGACGCAGAGATCGCGAAGCTCAAGAAATCGAAGCTGGTCTACAAACGCCCGATCAAGCAGATTTTGCAAGAGGTATGCGAATGTTTCAAAATTTGCAAAAACACAAATACTAAAAATATTCAATATTTACACGCAGGCAACCTTTGAGCTGAATGACACCGTAGAGACGATCAACGATAGCGATGATGACGATGATGACGATCCAGACTGGACAAAGACGCCGTTGCAGAAGGCAACACGCAAGAAGGTAAGCATGAATTCAATTACACAATTTGAATCCACCAGAGTAATTCAACAATCGTGCCATTTTCCAGCGTTCGTATTCACAGAACTCAACTGAGAACGATACAACAGTTGATCCGTCGTCAAAGCTGGCAAAAGCCCCCGCAAAGCGATCAAAATCGTTGAAAAGTGGTTGCGGATGCAAGACGGGCTGCAAATTGGGTAAATGTGGCTGCCGCGTCAATGGACATCCTTGTGGAGATTCCTGCGGTTGCGTTTCATTGAAAAATTGTACAAACTACCCCGGAGGAGACAGTAGTGCTGGTAGCCTAAAACGTGAGCGTTCGGTCAACGAAGAAAGTACGAATAACAATGAAGAAAATAAGGAGAACCTCGACGAAGTGGTACCATGCACACCACCGAAGAAATTACGGTAAGAAATTGCCATTTCATCAAGGGAAGAGAGACCAACTCCAGTTTCACTAATTTATTCAATAGTTTCCTTATATATGCTATTTTTGCTAGTTTCCCTCAATAAAAGTGCTATTTTTTGCTAATATTCTCTATGTGCAACGTGGCAGTTTGACAGTTCATGTACAAGTAACACTCATCAAGTTATTGTTGTGTGCTTGGAAAGAAAGCAAATAATTATATTTTGGTCATTTTTCTAATCTTATTTCGTAGAAAAGAACAAATCTTTTCATTTAATTTCATAAAATAACTCTAAAACTTTGTTCTAAAAGCGGTTAAAAACGGTTGCTCTTTTCACAATTTTCCTCTACTATTTATATGAATGTCCGAGAATGAAAACGCAACTTCTATTCACAACACATATAAGTGAAACAAAAATAAAAAATTTATTGAAATGAAACAACACAATCGAATTTATTCAAAGTGTAACAACAAAAAAGATTTTTTTAAAGTGTAACATCGGTATGTAGTAAGTGTAACAACACGTGTAACACGTAAAGTGTTACACTTTAAAAAAATCTTTTTTGTTGTTACACTTTGAAAAAATTCGATTGTGTTGTTTCATTTCAATAAATTTTTTATTTTTGTTTCACTTATATATGTTGTGAATAGAAGTTGCGTTTTCATTCTCGGACATTCATATGGACTTGAAAAAAATAACTAATGGTGTCTCTCCCCATGCAATTCATTGAAATGCTCTTCTATTTGGTTCAATTTGTTTTTTCTAATTTATTTCTGTTTCTCTTTTGTACAGTACTGAGGACATCATTAACCCATACGTTTATTCGCATAAGAAGCGCAACCCAATTTTCACTTCTAACGTCAACAATGACAATTAATCTAACAAGATATTTTATGATTAGCATTAAGATAACATTAAATTAAAACCATTGCATCATAAAAAATCAAAGGATTCGTCTTCAATTAGAATTCGTCTTTTTGTGGTTTAGTAGAGTGTATGCGTGCCTCTAGAACTCTCCAAAACTTGGCACGTTCTTCAAATATTCCGCCTTTTTCTGTTCCAAACATTGGTTTGCCATCGAAATTTAGGTTGCCCAAGCGATAGTATGTTATTGGAAAATCTCTTGTTTCGTGCCATTTTGGTAAGTGGCTTGAATTTGGCGTTGGATTACTGTAATGAAGACATTTCAAACTTTGAAAACTGTCACGTACTAAACATGTTGCCCAAGTTATTTACCCAGTTCGAGAAAAGTCAACCCACAGCTGTACAAGAGATTTACGCATTTCTTCATCTTCTTTCGTCGGTATTGCACATGGAAATAGTTTTTCTCTAACCGGAAAGAAATACAACTTTTCATCAGCATGAGAAACACCTATAATTCAAATTTAGTTAATAAATATCGATTTTTTTCGTCAAATTTAGTTCATTCAAAGTACCATAAAATGTTTCTGGATCACCATTGAATATTTCTGAGAAGCTGGCAGTTGCCTTGTGTGTCAATAGATAAACATACGTTGACGAAGCATCATTATGTGCAAGTCTCATTTGTAAATATGAATCCATAGCACCAAGAAACCATCCATCACTGATGAGCTGTGGAACACAAAAATATTTTACATAATTTTCTGAGCCAAACCGAATACATAACAAATATTACATTAGTCACATTTGCAAAATGGTTCCTTGACAGATTTTTGCTGAAGTAGAATTCATTAATTTGTTCTGTTATCAATTCTTGGACGGACAAATCTTGATGATCATAATAAAACAGAATTGATAATGCAAAGTTAAGGTCTCTAACAAATTCATCAAATAAGCCGGGAATGTTGAAAATTGCTAGAGAAAAGAAAGTTTTGCTTTTGACTATATGCAAATAGCCAAATGTGTGTGTGTGTGTCTGTGTATAATCTTACGAAGCGATTTCATGAGTCCTTCGTCATAAGTAACTCCAGTGAGAAATGGTATTTTAAGCGATTTTTCAGTTCTCTCATCGCGCGGATGCCTTGTAATAAATGCACCCGGTAAATCAGGCTCGACAACAGGTGAAAATGCAACCATGGGATCCGTATCGAATTCCTAATATGTAAACGAAATGAATCAGTTTTTAAGTAGTTATATTAAAAACAAACAAAAACAAACTGAATATTTACAAAGAAATCATAAAACGCGGCTGTGATATCTTTAGCTGAAACATTTCGCAAGCAGTCTATTGATTGTATCCAATTGTTAGGTTCATAGCATTCGAACTGTTTGGCAAGACGTGTTGCTCGCTTTCGGGCGACACCCTCATAAGCTGGTTGTGACCATGCGGCTAAATGGGTACCCGACATAGCAATTGCTTTGGAGAATAAACCTAGAATCATACGAAGATTTGAAGAATTCGAAATTACATCGTCTATTGTTTTTGTTTTTTTTTCTATTTGTACCTTCAGCTAGAGGTGACATCATTAAGTACGTGACACTTGCTGCTCCAGCACTGGCACCAAATATGGTAACGCTGAAAAGTTTTTAATTTCAATAATTCTAATCGTAATGAATCAGGTAAATGTATATTTTTTCTCACTTTTCTGGGTCACCACCGAAACGATTAATATTTTGTTGAATCCACTTAAGCACCATTGCTTGATCTTTTAGCCCGAAATTCCCGGGACAATTTGCATCTTCGGTGCTTAGAAAGCCGATTGGACCCAAGCGGTAATTCGATGTAACCAGTATAACGTCGTGATCTAGAAAATAGTCTGGACCGTACTTTGGTCTTATACCAGAACCACAAACAAATCCACCGCCATGGAAATAAGTCAAAACGGGCAATTCTGTCAACTTTCCTTCAAACTGAAAAAAAAATGTATGAAATTGTAAAACTGTTGTATTTGACTTTTCGCTTATATTCAGTGTTACCGAATGTGGTACATAAACATTCAAATACAAGCAATCTTCACTGCCTTCGTCCACATAGCTATGAACAAACGGATCACGTTGAGTACACATTGGACCATCGTTTACAGCTTTGTATTCTCCGTCCCATTTTTCCATTGGTTCAGGAGCCTGTCGATTTTCATTCATTGGTTTAATCAAATTGCATTAAGAGATATATTCAATATAAACAAAATAAATGGAATATGCGATTTAAATTATGCCTTTTTTCAAACAATTTCGACAATTACCTTGAACCGAAGTCTACCGAGTGGTGGCTTTGCATATGGTATTCGTGTAAATGCTTTTATTGGTCTTCCATTATTTGATCGTAGATACTTTCCCACTAATTTGCTTCCATTTGACAATGTCACACGCAATTCATCTGATGCAATCGTCCACACTACACCGAATATAGTTAAACTCAACAGCAGAATAACAACAATTTGATTACACATTTTGAATGAGACGAGATGTTGACCACACTTTCCGATTCAAGACAGAAACTGTTCTTACTTTCAGTCGGACTTGCTTATCTCACATTACATATATAAAAAAAACTCAGTTTGCACAGTCTATCAGTCTATCTAATTTCTTATCGTATGTGTATATACTCGTGAAATTCAAATGATAAGATTTTTATGAGAGAAATGCTTTTATGACACTTTCGGTTTTTGGTGATAAACTTGTGTTATAGATAGGAGAGAAACTGTCTGTTCCAATACAGACAACTCAAACAACTGAACAAAGTGTTAACATTGACCTTGATCTCGAATAAAAGGAGAATATATTACCTTACTACTTTTACATGCCAAACAACAACTGAAAGACTGTTTCATTTCGTATGAGAAAAAGTTGATTAACTTGATCGACTTCAATGAAAATAATAAGAATGACTGAAATTAACGAATGAAACATCAACTGAAACTAAAAGTTAGTTTGAATACAACTATTCCGAAAAACGATTGCCACAATTGTAATAAAAAGTTTTTTCAGTAACATTACAATTATAACTAAAATAAATTTTTTTTAACAATGTCTTGATAAAAATTTGTTCAAAAATCACATGTATTCTTAAATAAAAAGAATTACATTGGTAATCCCGAAATTTTCCGAACCGTTGGCCCGCGTTGTCCGTATGCACTTTTGGTTATTTTTTGTGAATTTTTTTGAAAAGGCAGTGAAAATATAATAATGAAAATAAAGTGAAAAATCGGTCACTTTAACTAAAACTTCGACAATTCTATATGAGAGGTACCCGTAAACCGATCCTCATTGGCTTTAAACTTTCTGAGGTTTCATTTTTTGGAGAAAAAATAAGATTCTGAAAGTTTCATCTTGATCGCATTTGCAGAAGTTTGGTTTTTGGCCCTCAATTTTTTCCAAGAAAATTTCGACAAAAATTGAGGACAAAAAATCAAACTTCTGCAAATGCGATCAACATTAAACTTTCAGAATCTTATTTTTTCTCCAAGAAATGAAACTTCAGAAAGTTTGAAGCCAATCAGAATCGATTAACGGGTACCTCCCATACAAAATTGTTCCGATTGGTTTCAAACTTTCAGAATCTTATTTTTTTCCCAAAAAATGAAATCACAGAAAGTTTGAAGCCAATCGGAGTCGATTTACAGGTACCTCCCATACAAAAGTGTCAACTTTTTGAGGTTTTTCTTAGGGAAAGTACCCCAGGGTCAAATCGAAAATGGCTCATCTTCGAACTTAAACTAAGTTTTTCGGATACATAACTTTTGGCATTTCCAGATTTTGATTATCTCAATTATTTTTTGAGTTATCGTGTTAACAAACACCAACGACGACGACGACGACAACGACGACAACGACGGCACACGAACGGAAAAGTGTCTCAAAAAGTGGTTTTCTACGCGTTTCATGAGTTTTTATGATGATCTAAGCTAATTTTGCGAAAAAAGTTTTCGGTACCAATTCCTATACTTTCCCTTGACACAGTGTGTACGGAAAAGTAAAATACTCATTTAAACACTATGATCATGATTGACTGAATAATGAAATTGATTGATTAAAATTCTCTATAGTACATATCTTGGTGGCCCTGAAAAGAGCCGATTTTGCTTCTGAATTGCTTTGGATGTCTTTTGGCATGATTGTGACACGTTTGGCGTGGATGGCGC